CGCGAACGTGACACGGCTGCCGAAGACGCACTTCTTGTCAGATTGTGCGAAATTCGTTCTCAGGTGAGATGAGGTCTCACATCGGATTTTTTCGAAAAGCATTTTACCTCGATTTGGATCAGACTATTCATCACGATAACTTGAAATACGCAATCACTGTGGTGGTAATTTGAATAATACTCCGGTAAAATCGGTTGCAACTACGAGCATTTCATGGGTAACAGTCCTTGTTGTGATCTAACTTTGAAATGTTTCGGTTAAAAAAACTGTCATATCAGTTTAAGGTAAAGCAAAAACGTCCAGTTTGCTTGAATCGTGAAAGCACATTGCCAGCTTTATGTGTAGTGATCTGCGCTTTCAGATATGCCTAGCCAAAGGGCGCGGAAGAGCGATTCAAGAAGAATGTGATAGACTTCGAAAAGAGAACCAAAAACTTATAGATGACATTAGCGCGCAAAGACAGGTGATTCTAGAAATTCAAAGGCGTTATTTTAAAGGGTGCCTTCAGATTTTCGACAGAGAAACGCAGGAGCGCTATACATACGAGAGCCGCGCCAAGCCGCTTCTGCAAGAGTGTGAAGAGCTGCTGAGGAAATGCAAAATGGTATGCAGTATCCAAAGATTTAGATAAAATTACTTGCATTATGGTTAATTTAGGTACCAGTGCCAAAATACTCATTCGACGATATCGAGAGAGACAGAAAGCAATGGCGCGCCGAAGTAGAAGCATCAATGGTTGACATTCGTAGACAATATGATATTGTGAGGGAATAGAATTTTGAGAAAGTTATCATGGACAAGTTAAACTTTATAGTTGGCAAGCACGCTCACATCAGAAATGGAACAATGGTACAAAGAAAAAGTCATGGAGATTGGCGTCAAGCAAAGAGAAGAAACATCTTCATTCAAGGTGCTGCATTCTTCCAGTCAAGAGGAGAAAAAAAGACTGTATTTTAGAAGAGACTTGCCGATTTGCGAGCCGAATTGGCTGACGTTCGTTCAAGGCTGAACCACCTTGAAGAGCGCGTGAGTCATTTATGTAAATAGCTAAGAAATGGGAATTAATTACGCCACTGTAGAATCGTCTTCTCACCAGCCTCATTGCCGATTTCGAAGACGCCAGAGCACAAGAGCAGAAAATTGCCGATGCTTGCGTTAAGGAAGACGAGGATCATCTTAAAAAGCTCATCGATCGTTACGAAGAGCTTCTTGCGGCTGGCCCAAGCGAGGAAAGATACTCTGTCGTGGTAAGTTCCAAGTGAAACTGCTAATGGTGATATCTTTACTGAATGTTGCAGACTCTGCGCGCTGAGATCAGGAGATACCGAGAACTCCTTGATAGTGTGGGGGAGGGTGGAGGCAGCCTCCTTGGTGGTGGAGGTAGAGGCGGCTCCGGTGGTGGTGGAAATGGAGGCGGCTTCGGTGCTAGTGGAAGTGGAGGCGGCTTCGGTGCTGGTGGAAGTGGAGAAGTCATCGGTGGTAAAGCTTCGCGCCAACTCGAGGGCGGCCCAACTACATACTTCAGATCCACAACCACGACGAAAACATCCCAGATTGGAAGCGGAGCTTCAGATTTCGGCGGTGGAGTCACCTCGACGTACGTTCCAGGCGGAGGTATTACGCTCAGCTCAGAAGGTGGTGCAGTGACGAGTGGTCACTCACAGATTGGAAGCGGTGCTAGCGTTGCGGTACCGCTACCTGCTCCGCAAGGAACGATACACTACTCCTGGTCGGAACGCAATCCTACAACTGTCACCACTACGGTCGACTACACAATGAGGGATGAACGAAGTTCGGTTGCGAGGTCTGGACCGGATCATCATGAGTACAACATGCAACGTTCTGCTAAAGGAAACGTCACGATCGGGGTGGGTTTTCTTCTAAACTCAACAGAAAATTTAGTATACACGGTTCTTAATTGACTGCATCTACATTCCATGAGTTACAGAAAGTAGCAAATGACGGATCGTACGTCACTATCGAGAACACCTCCATGGACATTGACCAGGACATTGGTGGGTGGACCCTTCGCAGCACCAGTTCCACGCTGAAACAAGTATCCTACACTTTCCCACCTGAATTCTCCATAACTCCCCAAAGCGCCGTAAAGGTAACAGATTTCAGCAACATTCCTTTCGTAGTTCTTGCAAATTTTTCGGATCTATAGGTGTTTGCACGAGGGAAGGGACCCCACAATCCACCTCACTCGGTCGTTTGCGAAATGGACACCACATTCGCAACAGGCGACGATCTTGACATTTATCTTTACGATAAGAACAACGCTGTAAGTAAACAACCAGCACATTCTTGTGCAAACTTGGCTCCAAATGAAATACTGGATTCAAGGAACGTGCTCGTCTCACTCAACGCGACTTCTTCCACAGGAGCGGATCGGAATATACTATCTATTGAAGTCAACAATGACGGGGACTCTATAACTGCCTTCATCCAAACTCTGCCTATTTGCATTTCCGTTTTGTCATTAACAATGTGTGAAGACTGTGTCTAGATTTAGAATCATAAAGGGTTTCAGTATCCAAGTGCTTTGTAACAAAGAAAGAAAAGGTTATTCACTACACAAACTGGTGTGTTTCGGCATCACTATCTTCAAAAGAAGTGCATTACCATAGAAGCCGAAACGTCTACTTAGCATTTCGTGAATTTAATGCGCATTTTAAGTCATGAATAATTGACAAGGAAAAGTATAAGTCGCCTTAATGAGATATATACAGCATAGAAGTGAAGCACTAATTACAAATCTGTTTCTTTATCTGCGGAACGTTTTTTTTGCAGCGGAAGAAGTTATGAAAGTCCTTCCTGCAAAAATAGCTTATGAAGCCACAATAATTGCCTTAAGCATCAAAGATTCTATTAGGGATTGAGTTCTTTCCCCGTTGTATTGGCTTACCAAAATTTTAATTTTTGCATAGGTTCCTGACGCCATATTTAGCAGAGGAGAATCATCCATAAGTATTTCCAAAGAAATCGCAGATAATAAGAGATCCTCGAGTTCTATC